TGGAAAGATATTAGAAACAAGGAAGTGGAAAAGCTGCCCCACAGTGCCTATTCCAGCAGGAATGGTCTTTTCCTGTTCTTCACAGGAGGTCTGGATGACAACACGCAATCCCAGCAGAACATAAATGCACCCACCACTTTAATCCTTCTGAGTTAGCAGCTGCTTGCTGAGCACTCGTGTGCCAAGCAGGCAGCTCTGCCAGGCAGGAGACAGCAGAGGTTTCCATCTCCAGTTCTTTCCCACCACACAGGAGAGAGCCATCCCAAAGTGCACCAAGCGCAAGGCTCAGCTCAAGTAGGCACAACCCCAAAATGAGTGGATCTTCTGAAAACGCCATTCTGTCCAAGCAATCTGAAGTTAAGAGGTTTTGAATTTCATATTTGCAAAAACAATGCAGTTCTGCAATACCATTCCAACCAAAATTGTAACTTTGCCTTAAAGTTTCCAGTCAGGCGCACAGCAAAATACCACCATGTCCATCCTGGCCTGCAGCTCCTGTTTTGGGAACCCTATGCAGCCTCACCCAGCATCTCACTCCAACATGCCTATGGTGCAAGCCTCGCCCTGCTTTTGAATAGCCCCTAAGCCCTAAAAGACTTTTTAACCTTGTCCTGACATAAGATGTGATGTGCCTGGGGCTGGCTCCTTGCTGCTGGCCTCCAACAGCAGCAGAGCATGCAGGTCAGAGCTGAAGCATGCTGGGCTGTATCCATGTCTGACCCCAAAAGGATACCCCAGTGCTTTTGCTCCTACAAACTGCCAAGTGCTGCAGACAGGGTTTCGCCACAGCTTGGGGATTTAAGAACTGAAGCCAGAAGAGATGGCACAGTTCTCCTAAAACTACGCTGCAGAAGTGGAAACAAAGCATTTATCTAAATAGCATTTAATCCTTTAGAGTCCTCTTGTCTCAAGAGCCATCTGGTTAAAATTCCTCTCCAAATCAGGGTATCTAAATGAAACATGAGGTCTCTTTCTTCCTCCCACACTCCCTCTGCCAAAGTCAGACATAAAATATCTGATCTCAGACACTTTAACTTTGTTATCATCCCTGTCTGAGTTTCCCGTAATAGAGAAATGAAGGGAAAAAAAGTCACAATGAATGAAGCTGAAGCATTTTGACCGTACAGCTTACAGTGTGTTTTTTAATAAAAAAGTGACAGGTCGGGTTTGGAAACATTTCTTATATAGACATTATTTCCATTACCTTCTCAAGCAAAAGTAATTCTACATAACTGAAGTTAGAGAACTATATCTAAAATCTCAGCATTGCTATCTAAATTACCCAGCGCCGCCCCCAAAGTGGGACTGAGCTCAAAAGTGCATCACTCACATAAGTCACTGCTGAGGAGACGATAGTATTCCTGGCTCACATCATCATTATCTCCACTGGAGCACATGCCCCAGCCTCAGTGTGCTAGGAGCTGTGTGCTCACAGCACTGGCAGCAAGTACAAGTTTCCAAGACAGAGATGGAGAGGGCAATCGCTCAGCCATGGTACCCAGGAACCATGGAATATCATGCAACAACCCTGTTTTCACAAGGTATTACACAAAAAGGAATATTTTTCTCCTCTGGGACAAGGAACAGAGTTATTTAAAGCTTGTGTTATATGCTAGTGCAACAGACAGAGAGTGTACTACAATATATTTAGAGAATATGAGCCTAGATCGGGACTAATGCACATCCTACAGCATCTTTCCCTCCTTTGCGAGCACAGACCCAACAGAGCTCCACCAGCTGCCCTGTGCCACACATCTCCATTTTCCATTCATGGTGCAGTTCGATGGAGAGGCAGCTTCCGAAATAGAGTCCAGCCAAGATGGGCTGGAGAGTGTTTATATTCAAGCGTTCGAGTACCATAAACACTGCCTCCTTTTGAACAGCTGCCTTTATTTACATCCAGGCAGAGAATTATACCAGCGTAGGTGGAGGCCAGCCATCATTCACAGCAGGGAATAACTTCTGTTAGAAAGACTCCAAGAGCCCAATCCAACAGATCTCTCCTGGCCAAAACTCCCCAAAAGCAGATCAATTCAGACAGCAGCTGTAAGCCCCAGCCCTGACAGGGTCCCTCCGAGCTCCAGCCCCAGACCTGAGCAGTTGGATTTCTGCTCCCCTGAGCTCTTGGTTTTAGCACCTGTACCTTCATTGTTACAGCAGGTATAACTCAGTAAGGAATTTGTCTGTGCTGGGCTCCTTAAGGAGAAATTAAGAACTGGTTTGCATTCAAGAATAAGGGAAAAAATACAGAGGGTGTTGTCACTGCAGTGAAGCTTGCGGGTGCTTTTATCATTAACATTTCAACTTCCCTTTTTAAAGCCATATTTGGTTACTTGATCAGCTATTTGCTTCATACATCATAGCTTAAGAATTGAAGGAGTTTCCTTTGTGAAGTTTTTTAAACAAAAAGCACTTCCTCTCAAAACAAGGTAAAACTAATTAATAGATGGATTGTTCTAATCATTTTTTTCCCGTTCGTGTGCTATTTACAAAGCAGCCCCATCCATATCTGAGCCACAGACCAGCGCCTGCTTACGCAGTGTGAGCTGAACCAGAATCTCATGCATTAACTTATCTTGTGTGCAGCTGCTAAAGAAAAGATTGATAACAGAAACACCCGTCTTGCAAACACATCAGTGAATAGTTTCACTCATCCAAGTGATTCCACAAATACAGATAGAGAGAAGGGCGCAGTGTTTGGGTAAAGATAAAGGCGTTTGCTTTCAGATGGGGACAGCTGTGAGTGCCACTTGTTAGAAAATCTGCAAATGCTGATACTTCATAATATAGAAAGAAAGCAGTGACAGTTACTAGCTGAAAGCTGGCATTTCCACATTTCCCCCAGCTCTGTCCCATCCAGCATTCTCCCTCAGGGCAGTGGGTATAACTCCTATCTTTCCAAGAACATCGCATCACCTGAGCTGCTGACAGAACAGCCTCTGGTTTGCTTATTTCCTCCCCAGCTGTTATTAACCACTTCAAACAGGCACAGCTGATCCTCTGCCTTGGAGAGCCCTGCTGACAGCTTACACACAGCTCTGCCCCACTGCAAACACTCCCAAACACCACTCAGCTGGGAAGCAGAGAAAAGCTCTATTTATACTTCAGTGACTGCCTGTACTCTCAAAGCCATCACCTTGGAGGGGGGGGGCAGTACACACATCAGAGAAAGAAGATGCAAGAGAAATCAGAAGCAAGAATTTAGATAAATCCCCCAACCAAAACATCCCTAAAGCAGAGGCAGTCTCCCATGAGGAAACTGTTTTCTAAAAAGAGTGCTTTAGAAGTACATTCTGCACTCGCAGACTTCCCGTTTCCCCCAGCCCTGCTCACTAGCCTTCCCCAGCCAATTCCCCAGCCGAGCAGCCCCAAGGCAGAGAGAGCACAAGCCCTGAAATCCAAAGACCTGTGGAACGCAGGATGCTGAAACGCTCCCTGCTCAGCGAGGATGCTCAAGAAGAGTGAGACAGAGGCATGTGCTTACTGGCAGCTGGAGAGCCTGGAGCGGGGAAGGGATGGAGCACACTCCCCTTGCAGCTGTGCTGTGGGCAGGACGTGGGAGAGCTTCGGTCCAGGGCTGAGCCTCCAGCCCCTGGCTGGACAGCTGCTGCTTTCACACTTATAGCAGGGAGGCGCGTTGCAAAAAATTAATCCAGCCAATAGCACCGGTCCTGCCCAGGGAGCAGCTGGAGGTGGGGGGAAAAACCTGCTCCTCCCAGGGCCTCTGCACCAGCACTTTGAGGGGAAAAACCCAACCAGCAGTGGCATTTTGCCAGCATCACTCCCCTGCAGCAGCAAAGCGTGCTTGTTGCTGGGACCCATGGGATTCACTGGGCTGGGGAAAGCACTGCTACCCCATGGTGATTGGAGAGCACTTCACGCATAAAAAATGCAGCACCAAATCTTTGTATGGGGGGAGATTTGTTGTCAGTCTCTCATTCTGTCCAAGCAACCCTCTCCCAAATCTAAAACATCTCCTGCCATGCCTTGTGTCACCATCAGGTTCATAGATAAAGATTCAGGAAACAAACAGGAGGGATGTGCATCAAGGCAGCAGCCTGAAGGGAGGGGAGGAACACAGCCAGAGAGAGCACAGCTCAAGCGATGCCAGAAGATGAATATTTTCTTTAAAGACATGAGAAAAAGAACTATCAGGCAGCAAATTGTTCTTGCATTTAAACACATTTGCCTGTTGAAGCTGCACCAAAGTAGGCAAATCTGACACCATTCATCCTATTTTCTTTTTCCCCTAATTTCTCCATCCCTTATCCCATTTGCTTTCTGCACATAGCTTCCAACCAAGGTTTCACTGCCCAATCCCATACACAGCTCTAAGGTACAACGTCTATCGCCTAATGGAGTAGCAGCTAAATAACCAAACAACATGTCAGCATTTGCAGGATCAGACCTTAAATCTGAAGATTTAAAGCAACCGGTATACCTGACACAGAAGGACTTAAGCACTCTTAATCTCACATGCATCAAAATAGCAGCTTAATTCTGTTTGGAAATTAAACAGAAGATAGAGAGCATAGACAGCGCATAACTAAAGTCGAGGAAGAAGCACTCCAGTTAGTATTGCAGATGATACAATATAGCACTATAAAAGCCTCTGCCAAAGTGCTGTACTGAGCAAGAATGCACTGCAAAAATGACACAATTCATTTCACAGAGTTGAGACAGCTCTGAGTGCTATCACCACTGCTTGGTGAGGAACATCACTGGTTATTGGGTGCATTGATTTTTGACAAACGCAGTAAAACTTTAAAAAAAAAAAAAAAAAAAGGAGGAATCCAATGTATCTCTGACTAGCTATCCAAACAAAATGAACTATGAAGCACTTCAAACCGAGTCAGCTGAATTACTCACCCAAAAGCTAACTGCTGGGAAACTTTATTTGGAAATAGCAAAGCTCATAAAGCTGCTTCAGGGCAGAGCAGTGCTGGAAGGAGCCCTGGGGAGCAGAAGACTGCCCCAAACCACAGCAGCAAAGGGCTTACCTGAGAGCAGGGAGCTTGTCCACACTGTGAAGGAACAGATGTTGTAGATCTCAGACACTGTAGATCTCCAGCCTGCTTTAATTCAACCACTCAGCAGCTGCAGAGCGAGGAATCTTCTATGCAATCAGGCCCGTTTTTGCACATCAAAACTATTTTGAGGCGCAGCCATGCAGAATGAGGGTCCTGCACCCCTTGGGTGGGCTTGACTACCCTCCTGATTTTCACTTGCCATGGCACCCAAAGGCCAGGGTTAACACCAGCACCAACAACAGCCACTCCACTTGTGAGGACAGGGCCACCACCAACACCTGTCCTCTGCCACACTGAGCCAGAACAGCTCTCCAGCCAGCACAGACATCCTGTCCTCACAGCATACAAAAACCCAGCAGCTATAACCCAGGCAGCATCCAGCCATCTACCTGCCTCCTCCCTTCCTTCCCCTCACAGCTGCTCACTCCAGGTGGGACAATTACCAATTCCCTCATAACTCTCTCCAGGCAAACACCCTTTCTCACAAGCAGCGTTATTCTTTCCTTCAAAACATCCTGGAAAAGCCCTTTTCCCCTTGCAACGCTGCAGCCTGAGGGAGGGCAGCCATGTGGGGGCTTGGCACAAACACAGCCCCCTCATCCCACCAGTGCCTGAGAGCAGGAAACATTCCTCTGGTGGAAAAAGAGAAGGAACAAAGCAGGGGAGGAGGCACAGCAGTCTCCACACCCGCCATTTTGTGGCCCTGGGGACAACTCCGGCCAAGCTGGGCCCACAGCAGCTGAGCCTCACCTGCAGGCAGGCCTCAGCAACACATCGCCAGGCAGGAGAAGTAATGGAAAAGCTGAAGTATTTCAGAGTCATTCCTCTCAGGGAGTAAGGAAGGGTGGGGCTTTGGGGATTTTGTAACGGTGTGGTTAAAGCATCAGTGATGTAAACCCTTTTTCCATGGAGTTTAATGCGGAGACTGCTGGGCTGTCAGGCTCTGTGCCAGGTGCACCTCTGCAAAGCACAGGCGTCGGTCAAGCAGAAAGCAGAGCCTGAGGAGCAGCGTTCAGCCCCCCTTGCAGCCAGCAAACATCAACAGGAGGCGAGAGCCACACATTTCCACCTCTTTGGGGTATGGACCAGCAGCCCAGCAAAGGCCTGTTCATGTGCTCATCTTCAAAAACAACATTAATTGACCACAGCCTTGCTAGCTGGAGATGCTGAAGCAATACACTACAGGCAGCAAACCCATCCAGGTGCAGCTGTGGGTTTGTTTGATTTTTCTCAGCAGGTGATAAACTGCTAAGCAGAGGGCACCACTTTTTCTGCAGTAAAACCCATCTTTGCATACAATGTAATTCTTCCTGTTGGTATGGTTTGGGCATTATACGTGCACACACAATAGAGAGAGGGGTCACATTGCTGCCAATGGGGATCAATGGACCCTTTTTCATCAGCAGCTGTGCCTCCAGCCAAGGATGTAGGAGGAGGTTCCAAGCACAGCAAGCAGGCAGTAAGACAAGAAGAGGGCTGTGGCTGCTGCTACCCTACTCTGCTTTCCACCCTTTAATGTCAAAATACGTCTGTAGCACAGCCCTACAATGCCATCAGCAAACCTGGACCAAAAAAGAGTTTCAAAAGCTAGAAAATCACCTGCTGAAAGGCCGGTGCCAAACAAGCCCGTGAGCAGTTACAGTGACCGTGTTATTCGAGGCATCACCACCACTCAGATTTTCCTGAGTGACACCAGAACCTGCACTTTGAGACAGGATCTCACTAAGGATTGTTCCCACCTTCAAAAAGCAGCTGTGGGGAGGGTTCAGCTGTCAGGTTAAGAGGGGTGGCCATGTCAGCCTGCACGCTGGCCTTTGGCAGAGGTCAAAACACTTCTCCCAGTACATGGAAAATCGCAAAGGTGACTCCCATTTATAAAGGATGATGCACCAGAGCCCTGCAGAAATGGACCCATCTGTTGGCTCGCCGGCTGCATTCTGAAAAGGCAGTGCTGACAAAGGTTTCCACCTCTCTTTCCAGCAACAATATAAGTTTTCAAGGAATGCTGGCGGCATAGGCGGGCATTTATCTGCAGCCTGCGGGGGGCTGTTAAACACATCAGGTTTTCTGCCAAGGGCAGGGCTGGAGGCTTTGTGCTGCATTGTTGTTTGAAGCTCAGTATTTCCAGCCACGTTCGCGTGCTGTGCTTTGTTTTGTTTGCTCTGCTGCTGGATGTGGAAGCCAAGGGGCAGCAGCATGGGGGTGTGCACCTATAGGGCGTGCTACCCCTCTAAATGGACACACATCTGCTTCCCCCTCCCCATGCTGAGGCCTCCTCCAGCTTCAGGGCTTGTGTAAACCTTTCGTGACCCTTGCAGTCTGCAGCACGGGGAACGGTCTGGGCAAATAACTTTCCTCCAGCAGAACTACTGCTGTGACTAAAATTTTTCAGCCATCCTCCACTGAAGTCAAGTCAGTTTCCATTGACTTCCACAGCTGCAGGGTCACCGTTTGCTTAAGTGTTTCCAGACTTTGGCCCTGCAGCGAACACCTTCAGCCGATATCTCTCAAATATTTTAGTATCTGCATAAGCAAACCAGATAACATCTGTGACAAGGTTTGGTTCTTATTCATCTTTATCAGTTATTGCTATCGAGTGGATATATATCCATCCATATATCAAACAGTTACCCTGTGATTATCAAACAAAGGGTGCTGGCAGCAATGAGGTAAACTGATAGCAGTACAAGGCTTTACTTTTAACGTAGCAATGGGATTTGCAGAGGTATCTCTTATTGCCACCTCAAACATCCTTAGTTTCGTCTTGCTGTCCATAACTCCCCTCACTGTGTTCTTTTTGTATGGCGTCAGTCTCAGCGTGACATTCATGTTCTGAAAAATGGCTTCTGGATATCAGATCAAAATTAAGTCCTTTTATTAATTTTAGCTTTTGATCTTAGTCTCATTAAAAATAATAATAATAATAATATTTCAAGGAATCTACAGGCTAACATCAGTAAAGTAAGTGTTTAAGAGGGGTTTTTCAAAGCACAACAAATTTTGTTTTGCTTGAGTCTGCAGCTAAAATCAAATCAATTAGCAAGCCGAGGACCATGAAAACACACACAACTGGGTTAGATCATTGAGATGCCCATGAGAAATGATAGGTACAGCATGGGCTAGGCTTTACAGCTCAGGGAACTCAAACAGAATTCCTCATCCTGCTACAAATGCCATCACGTACCCTCTGTCCCCTGGGCACTACCTGCCTGGCTCTGGTACAGGCAGACCCACTCATGCCCAATGCATGCAGTCCCTGCTTTGTGGCTGCCTTCACCCTGTCTGTATGAGCTTTTTTACCTTCTCTCTCAGTTCAATTTCCCCTTTCCTGAAGAACCTTTTGTTAAAGCTACAAGGCTATTTATGGAAGGTTTAATCCCTAATAATAAGGTTTGAAGGGGTCTTCATTCCCTGTCTCACAAATGGACAGCGTTCCCATAAACTGTGTGCTTCGTGTTTGCTTCATAGTCAGGAAAAAGTCAATCTCTGAGCACTTTACAAAGGCTTTGTTTTGCGAGCAACAAAAAAAAAAAAAAAAAAAGAAATAGTCATGGGAAAATTACAAACTCCTTGGCACTAAGGAAATTATGAATGCAATTTCCTGAGCTCCATGTGCTGGAGGAGCTGCAGCAGATTGCAATCAGGCAGCTTTCTCTACCAAAAGGTTTCAGCCACAACACCAGGCTTTGGGATCTGCCTGTGCTGGACTTCTGCTTTCCTTCCATTTCAGCAAAGATTTGCAGCTGATTTAGATCACAAAGCGAGCACGGGTGTGTTTTCTGTGGTTTTAAACCAAGTTTTCTGGGAATCAGCTTTTATGCCAAAATGAGAGCTCTCTTTTTATCTGAATTCTGCTGAAGAAAAGTGATTCAGAGATGGTTTGAAATCGAAGCTGAAAGAGACCCAAGAGAAAGAGCGCAGATATATGCATGGATATAGAGAAACTGTCTTCCTGCCACTTTCATACTGAAATAAATATCTTCAGTAAAAACAGATTGAGATTTTTCCTTTCGGCAGCTCAAGCAAGGGAACAGAAGAATGAACTGAACCAACAGTGGGGAAAAATATTTGGCAGTAGGCACAGTGGATCTGAGGAAGAACGTGAGAGGTATGCTGAGGCCGTTTAGATTTTGTCAGATGAGCAGCACCCTGCAGCAAGGAGCCATCTGCATACAGCAGAGGCTGGTGCACACACTGACCTCATAATACGCTGCACAGAAATCCTTTCTCCCCACACACACAGGGTCTGGGGACAAAAATGCTGCTAGAACAACATTTAGGGACTCATCAGTACCTGTCACACTTCCCAAGGCTTCTGGCGCTTGGTGAGTGCAGATGTGATGCTGGGATGTTGCCCTGCAGCTTGAGCCAGCCCTTGCCCTGTGCTCTGCTGCCTGGGAGCAGCTCTGCAGCAATGCCCCTGGCTCCTGAAAAGAGGTTTGTGCCCCTTGAGCAGGGCTGTGAGTGTCCCTGGCAACTCAGAGCCACAAACATGGAGTGGTCGGAGCCAAGAGGGACCAGCCAAACTTGAAACCTGGTAACTGCGGTGTAAATATTTACACGCTGCGCCTTGGTTTGACTCATTGTCCTACATCAGGAGCACGGCCAGCCACAGAAGTCCAGGTATTAACTGTCCCATTTGTTGTGATCCAGGACTTCCAGCCGGACTGTGATCCCACCGCCTTGATGTCTCACATCAGCCCCGGAAAGCTGCGGGTGCTCCTCACACTCCTCTTCCCAACCCAAGGTTGCTCTAGTCTTAGCAGATCTACAGCATTTGATTTGCCCACTGCTCCCCATGCGATCCGAGCCTTGCAGCCTAGCCTGCTCTGTGCTGCTGCTAACACAGCTGCTCCAGTGCAATTGGAAGGACTGCTGGCTAGGAAAGCTCTAGGATGATCATCTTTTTCCAGGGAATGTTTTACTCAACCCCTACACCCTTGTCACGAGTGCCATCAGTCTATTATCAGCTCTGTCATCGCAGCACAGGCTGATTCCAGCTGAAGCTACACGTTGCTGGTGGGAGCTGAGTTTAGGCATGCGAGTGTGCCAAACAGTACTGGCATCTCTCTAGTGGGACAATAGCACTGAGCACTTTAAGGCAGCTGGCCCAGAGCTAAGGCATTTTATTGACAGCAAATATCTCTGCAACAAAGCTCCAGCTGGCAAACCAGTCCAGGAAAAGCAGGAATCAAGTCACAGGGGAATTCATTTGCCTTTTGTAACAATTGGGGCATTCTCATGTAAGCAGCAGGCACAATCATGAGATCCCAGGGTGGAAAATGTGACCTTGTGCATTTGCAGTGTTGTATCTCTTTACCTGATGCTCACACCTGCTCTGTCAGAGTCATCCAGGCTCCAGCACTGCCTTGGTGTTGCACCTTGAAAACAAACAGCCATGCACATAGTGACCTCAGACCACTCAACCTTAGCTAAATGGCTCCAAAGTTAAAAAACATAGCAAGTCTGTTGTTCCCCTTGTAGCTCTGGGAGCTTGGGAAGCAGATTTAGCCATCCACTGCTGTTTATCTTGCTCCACAGCTTCTGTTCTCAACAGTTTTTCTTGTATTCCCACAATTCACCATCACAAAGGAGCCACTTCAGGGTGCTGCAGGAACTCAGCTATCCTTCAGGTTATGCCTATAGAGCTACTAAGCAGAAAGGATTCATTCTGGGATGTTCCCCCCCCCACTGGAGGGGCAAGGAAGGTGCAGCAGATGCATTCCAGGTAAAAAACATGCCTACAATTGGAGAGGTGTGGTTGCCCTCTAATTGTCTGTAATTAGCCCATCCTAAATGAGAGGCATTAGCCGGGTACCTGCAGCGTGGTTTAGGTGTACTCAGAGGAGAGAGAAGGGTGAGGGGAAGTATTCCTACTGCAGTCTCAGACTGGGTACATTTACACTGTGAAGTGCTTTGATGTTCAGTGGTTGGCATTCTCCTGCTCACAAAGCATCCTTCGCACCACGGTGCCTCCCCAGCTCTGCTGGAGGGTGCTAACCTTGCTGCTGCTGGGAGGAGAGCAGGCACCATGCAGAGAGCCGATGGCTGTAGTCTGTGCACTTTTTATCTTCGTCTGCATTCCTGGCAGCTTATGCATACAGGAAAGGGAGTGACATTCACACATACCCTTAGAAGTATCTTTGACTGCACTATTCAGCTGAATACACGGGGTTAGGGATCACAGCCTTATACGGGCTCCTCGGGGCCAGAGCACTGCTGGCACCTCTGGTGGAGAACAGATGGTGGAACTGCCTGTGAAAGGCCAATTAAGAAAGATCAAATCCTTTTGTGTTTATGTATGCCTAAACATTTGACAATAAATCCAAAACTCTGCTAATGGGAGTCCTAAATCTCAGAGAGTTTTCTAGGGAGCTGACTGTCAGCAAGGACCTGCTTCTTCATTTCCTCACCACTTGCCTGGTCTGCCAGCTGTTCTTCAACGACAAACACAGGTGGCTGAGGGATGCTTGGAGCTCAGTACTGGAGGAACAGACCGTGTAGGTCTGTGAGCCTTATGACCAGCAGGACACTGGAGATGGACAGTTGCTGTCCTTTGCAATATTGCCATCTAGAGGGCCCAGCAGGAACAGGAGATCCCTGTGTGCCACCATGAGGTAAGGAAAGAAATTCCAAAGCTGCTTTTTTTTTTTTTTTTTGCTTTGCTTTGTTTTCGTAATTTTGCCTTACATGAAGGCTTTCTCAGCATGGAGGTGGCAAGCCAAGCACACAACACTCAGGCATGAGAATACATCACTGCTCTGAAAACAGGCCTGTGGTTTGTTTGAGGCTGTAGATACAGTGCTGGCCAATTCCCAGTGCTTGATTGATCCCATGTGAGTATTGTGGCTTGGCTGAAAGCTGCCCATGACCTCTCCAATTAATTGAACTAATAGAATGGGGGCTGCTCAGCAGCTCTGTGCACCTATCTGCAGTGCAAGTCCATGCTGGGATCTGTCTCTCCCTTCCTCCAGAGCAGCACCTATGCAGCATTGCCCCTATTACAGACACTCAGCCCCAATGCCTGCGCTGCAAAACAGCTCCAATGAATGCAGCCATGTGCACTGGGGAGCACTGGTGTGCTGGAGAGAGCATTCAGCAACGGTGAGCCCAATCATCCCCTATTTCAACACAGCAGTTGAATTATAAGGGTGTGCTGCACTTCTCTGGAGGGTTTGTGAAGATAAGGAGCTGCCAAAAGGCATTTATTTGATCACTGAACTGTGTCCTTGCACAGAAGAGTTCCCTGGTCTGCTGGCACAATCGAGTAGCCTTGCTGTCTTTTACATGACCCACAATGGATTGACATAGGCTTGGAGCAGCAAGCCCTGTACATCCACAAAGAGGT